TAATTCGAGTTGCGACCAGAGTCGCAGAACGAATTAAGTTCGTGACCTGAGGTACCACTGTATTTGTATCGCAAGGTTTCTATTCCTACCCCAATCGTTTTTTTTCCTTTAACACTTTTATGTATGTATATGTATATGTTATTTATTTTAATTGGATTTCTCTCATTTTTATATTTAATTCCATTTTCTTTCCTTTTCTTTTATATCTCTATTTTATTTATATATTGTATTACTTATTTTTATATAGAGAGAGTGTCCCAATGTTTCTATTCCCACCCCGATTTATTTTTTCCTTTAACACTTTTACACATTTATTTTAATTTGCTTTATTTATTTTTATAGTTTAAAACATATTTACTTTAATTTTGTCCCAAGGTTTCTATTCCTACCCCAATTGTTTTTTTTCCTTTAACACTTTTATGTATGTATATGTATATGTATATTTTATTTATTTTAATTGGATTTCTCTCATTTTTATATTTATTTCCATTTTCTTTCCTTTTCTTTCATATCTCTATTTATTTTATTTATATATTGTATTACTTATTTTTATATATAGAGAGAGAGTGTCCCAAGGTTTCTATTCCCACCCCAATTGTTTTATTGTTTCCTTTAACACTTTTATACATTTATTTTAATTTGCTTTGTTTTATTTATTTTTATAGTTTAAAAAAATATTTACTTTAATTTTGTCCCAAGGTTTCTATTCCCTCCCGTTTTGGTTTTTGCCCTTTAACACTTTTGTATATTTATATTTTATTTATTTTTATTTGGGTTTTTTTAAAAAAAAGTGTTTTATTTATTTATTTATTTATTTGTTTATCTGTTTATTTAAATATTTATTTTATTATTGTATCATGGCAGACTGGGGCAGGTAAGCGACAGGAAGAAAACATTCAATACGAAACCCACGTACATAAATAAAAACAAACCAACAAAGGGTGGACAAACCATGCATTTAATCCAGAAAAGCCACTAGCCCTCTTTCCAACATTTTACTAGCCTCCCTGGGTTCAGGCAAGTGAATCACCCATTTCTGACCTAAAAAGGAGGACCAATTTCTGGAAAGATGATATACGCCAGCCAATGGGTCCACCTGGCCTGCTCTGAGTTATTGTGCTTACTATCAGCTGTGGGGTTAAAGGTCTCAACTTGATCCCTTCCAGTAGGGTTTCAAATCCTCAGAGTAGTGTTTCTCAACCTCAGCAACTTTAAGGTGTGTGGACTTCAACTCCCAGAATTCCTGGCTGGGGAATTCTGGGAGTTGAAGTCCACACA